AATGTGCATCAATGGTAGAGATTATTTCTTATGCTTCTTACCTTAACTCTCACAACCCTATATATGTGAATACACACACACATACACATGTATATGTGTGTGTAACAACCGTTAAATTTTAGAATTGCTTTTCGAAAGTTATCGGTTCAAGTTTTTTTAGGGCCACTGGAGTTTGAAGAGTTTGTCGGATTGTCAATTTCATTGAAAGGCGAAGCCAAAGATTTGATACAGGTGGAGCCAGAATATGTCAAACGAAATGAGATTACCTTGTCGATTGAAGGTATTTTTCAAAGTGATTCAACTAATATTGGTTGTTGCAAGTATTATTAAAAGTTCAAAGAAAACTTAGGTGGCGTTTGGTTTGCAGAATATGTTTGGATGGAATGAAATCTGTCAAAAGAATTTGACTTTAAAGAAATTAGAATGAAATATTGTTAGGTTTGACTACCTGTTCGGTTGACAGACATTAGAATAGAGTCTGTTAAAGCTGTAAAAGAATTGGAATATGTATGTTTAGTTCATATAATGTAGCTTTGAAATTGGAATAAAATATTGATAAATGACCAAAATGTCATTTTTTAAAATTTGTAAACTTTTTTAAAGCTTTAAATACTTTAATAAAATAATCATTTAAAACAATATAAAATACACAATCCAAATATAACCACAAACCGAACAATGATACTAAATCGATATTAAAGTTGTTTCAATAGCTAAATCTTTATCATATAAAATAAATTATACACAAGCATAATTCAATGTTTTTTATATTAAGTAAAAAATTAACTATTATACTGAATAAATATTAAGACAAGTTTCATCAAAATATATTTTAAAAAAAGTAAAACCAAAAGTATTAAATGAAATATATTGCCAGCTGAACAAAAGTAAATTTCAAGAAAGTAAGATAAAAATAGATTGATAATTAAAGTAAAAAACAAAAATATTAAATTAAATTAATTTAAAAAATAAAATATAAACAGAAGTATTAACTTAAGTTAAATTAATTAGATTTTATTTGCGTTAAAAGATACATTTGGCATTATAAAAATATAATATTTCATTCAATCAAAATCTCAATTTATTGTGAAGAAATGTTGAAATCCTTTGTTTGTGGAATTTGAACGAGGAAATGAAATTTGGTCATAGAAATTCAACATTCCAATTTCATCTTTAGAATCTGTGAATTAGATGTCACCTTAATATTTGTTTGGCAAACTAGATGATTGATGAGCCAGCTAATGACTCATAAACTATCTGATGAACTAAATATGTTTGGGCAAAACTAGCTGATAAACTAATTGGTGGAAAATGTAAAATAATCAAGAAGGATATATTTAAAAATTAATACAATTTAACATTTCATATTATATTTAAAACATTCATTAATAATATAATATGTTAATTAACATATTTCAACTTGATTTATTATTATTTTATATATAATGTTAAAAAAATT